ATACCCCTTTCGTTTCCGATAATTAGAGAGTGCCTATTCTATCAAAATTCTTACCCGCGATGTCAAATTTACGTCACATTCACTTACGGAAGACATATTTTAGAACAATCCCTTGTTAATTATGTAAATTTGTGTAGGCCTAGTTCTAATTTGGATTATTCAACTCGCGTGGTTTTCCTATGAAGGTAATCCCACACAAATTGCAAATTCTTATAACGTTGTCTAAAATGTAATAAGCCAATTACTGTCGTCCTCTTCCTTTGTGTCATAATTTCAAAATGAGGGCAAATCCATTTCTATTAAATGAGTGTGGAATTTCTTGAAATGGTAGACTACGTTTGTAAAGCCAGATGAGCATTATATAATATACTTTCGATCTGGTTCAATACAAATTTCTCAATCTGCGTAGAGCGTCCTCATTTAAATAGTAGAGGTTGTACACGTTCGGCTTATGAACAACAACGCTCTTTGATCGAAAACACATCGATTAACACACCGATAAGACGAATTTCGTGTTGCCATACCTGGAAAAATAGCATTCTGAACTTTAGCTAATGAAATCCAGCTTTTAGGTTTTTAAAGAATTTAAATAATGCCTTTTCCTGTTTCAGACTTCGAAAACCCCTTTTCTCGCAACGCAATCCCCAGTGAATACTATGGCCATGGCCACCCGTAGTATAAGGACCAACTCAGTGACAGGTATGTACATAGCGCAACCAACACCTTAATCTGTGCGAGACCCTTCTGTATATAACACACATTATAACCTATATGCTTTTCGTTTTATTTTAGATTTTCTAAAATTGTGACTCTTATATGCATCATTTTAATAGGAGGATGAATTGGTAGGCCGTACCGTTCCTGGAAACATTACCTGGGGAAAACTACTGGTGTACAAAACTTTAATTTTATTTGGTTTTCCCTTGCCTTGCGCAGTTCAATTTTATTTTATTTTGTGGAAAGAGAATGTGGAATGTATGATTTGATTTGTAATCGTCTAACAATAAACACGAATTCGAACCAGCAAAACATGGTCCTTCAAGCCGGATTCTGACAGTTGTAAGAATAAGGTTCAGAAACAATTCGAAGTTTGCGGAAGGGCTATTGATTCTTTTGAGTCATTTTTGGAAAGCATATTCGATGAAGACCATGACGATTTGTTTGATGAATTTTTTTCAGAAAAGTCCGAGACGGATACATTTTTCGGCGTCTTAAAGACTAAAGTTATTTCAAAATTTGGCAAAGATAATCCGCCCACAAATACGGACACTTCTCCTATCGAACGCAATGGCACGCTTGCCCCGTATTAATTTAACATCATTCTCGGGAAAATACGAAGAATGGTTAAGTTTCCGCGACTCCTTTCACTCTCTAATCGATTCGAATAAGTCACTAAGAACAATTGAAAAATTTCAGTATTTAAAAGGTGCTGTAATTGGCGAAGCAGCAGCCGTCATAAAATGTTTGGAAACATCTGAGGCTAATTATGATCAAGCCAAAGATTTACTAAAAAGTAGATATGAAAATAAACGCGTCATTATCACTAATCACATTAACGCTCTTTTTGAATTGTCTGTAGTTACAAGAGAATCGCACGATAATTTTCGCAACATGCTCGATTCCATTTTGCAGCACACACGTGCGTTAAAAGCAATGGGTCGCCCGGTAGAAGGTTACGATGACTTTCTGATTTATTTAATCACATCAAAATTCCCATTTTCGACACGTAAGGAATGGGAAGATAAGGGTAAGGTTTCCGAATTGCCTACTTTACAATTACTAACGGATTTTTTGCTGCAAAAATGTCACACTTTAGAAACAATACACGCAAATGAAGTTACTTTTCATCCAAATAAACAAATTGCCTCTCACAATATCAAGCGTTTCTCGAATAGTGCGAATTGTATTCTCAATACAAACATTTACTGTAACATTTGCAAGAGAGCTGATCATTTTGCCAGTCAGTGTCCAATTTTGTTGGATTTACCTGTGAACAATCGTATTTTGAAGGTTAAAGAAAGAAATTTATGTATAAACTGTTTAAGGGTAGGTCACAAATCAAGAGAGTGTAAATCTTCCCGATGCAAAAAATGCAATGGTGCTCACAATACCATTTTGCACATAAACCCTAACATAGGACATTCAGAAGGCCAATCTAGTAACCAGCTGCGGCTGTAAATGTAACCGTTGAATCTTCTTCCTTGCATTTATCTAATTTAACGCATGTACCTTCCAACGTGGTTTTATCAACATGCTTACTACAGATCAAAGGTAATGACGGAGTTTTTATAGATGCACGTGCAATACTGGATTCTGGATCTCAAATTAACATTATATCCACAAAATTGTGCAAAAGGTTGGGATTAATATCAAATACAGTTGAGCTATCTATAACAGGCGTTTGCAACAAGTTTACAAAATGTAATCATATCACAACGTCACAAATTAGGTCAAAATATGGCAATTTCTCTATCAATTTAAATTTTTATGTGTTAGATTATATCACGAGTTATTTACCCACGAATTTGTTCAATAAGATTAACGTAAATTTACCTCAAAACACTTTCCTCGCGGATCCTGATTACAATATAGGCGGTGAAATAGATCTACTTATAGGGGCGGAAATATTTTACAGTTTACTTTTAGATGGGATAATTCACGCACAGCCAAAGGGATTAATACTAAAAGAAACAGTTTTCGGTTGGATAATTTCAGGTAGCATATCAGCTCCTAGACCAAATAAATTAGCCTCGTGTAATTTAACTACGTTGCAAGAGTTAAACGAAAAGATCTCGGCATTTTGGGAAGTTGAAAGAGTTCCTAATATTCAAATAAGGTCCTTCGAAGCACAAAGATGTGAAACGCATTTTCAAAAAACAATTACTCGAGATTCCAGTGGTAGATTTGTAGCGACGCTCCCTTGGACGACGAACCCAAAGTTGTTAGGGCACTCGCTAGAAATTGCTAAAAAACGTTTTCTAAATTTAGAGCGCAGGTTACTAAATCACAACGAGGGAAAATTAGAGTACGATAAGTTTTTGTGTGAGTATTTGCAATTAGGTCATATGCGCGAAATGGGAACCATTGAAAACGCGAATGATGGTTTTGGTTATTTTTTGCCACACCACGCAGTCTATAAAGTCGATAGTTTAACCACGAAAACAAGGGTTGTTTTCGACGCGTCTTCAAAAACGTCTAGATGTATCGGCAGATATTGATTAATCCCGATGACACAAAATTTCAACAAATTTTGTATCGTTTTGAGCACAGTGAGCCGATAAAGGTATTTGAATTACTTACATTAACTTATGGGACGCGACCGGCTTCATTTATTGCAACGCGATGTTTAAAAGAATTGGCTCTAGCAATTGAAGATCAACCGCGAATTCAGAAAATTATCATGGAAGATTTTTACATAGATGATCTTATCACAGGGGCGGATAACCCCCCAAGAATTAGTCTTTATCCGTGATAAGGTAAATCATATACTTTCGGAAGCAGGATTTCTATTACGCAAATGGGCGTCAAACAATCCCAGACGTTTTAAATGGGTTTCATATGACTAACGTCACAAATTTAATATTGAACCTTAATCACGATGAATCTTTAAAAACATTAGGGGTAGGTTGGGCTCCTTCTTCAGACCTGGTCCAATATAATGCGCATATGAATTCCACGAGATCAATCGTAACAAAACGGTTCATTTTAGCTAACGTCTCACAAATCTTTGATCCCTTAGGTCTTGTAGGTCCAGTCACGGCTATAGCAAAGCTGCTTATGCAGGACATTTGGAAATTACGCATTGGTTGGGATGTGGAGCTTTCGCAAAATTTAAAACATCGTTGGGAGGAGATTTCAAGTCAATTACTTACCATTGGGGTAATAAAAATTCCGCGATGCGTGGCAACAGATCCTACCTCCAGTTTAGAATTACACGGATTTTCAGATGCCAGTGTAAGGGCGTACGGTGCCTGTATCTATATCAGGGAAATTTTATTAGATAATTCGGTACGATGCCAACTACTGTGCGCTAAATCACGTATAGCGTCGCTAAAAACTTTAACTTTGCCAAAATTAGAACTATGCGCTGCTCTACTACTAACTGATTTAGTTGATAAGGTTTTAAATTCATCGCGAAAAGAATTTGCACGAGTTATATATTATTGCGATTCAACAATCACTTTGTCTTGGATAAAGGGTTGTCCAAGTAGATGGAAGGTTTTCGTTGCTCACAGGGTTGCAGATATCCAATCTAAATCTAACATCAATAATTGGGTTCATGTTCCTACGCAAGACAACCCTGCCGATATTATTTCCCGTGGATTATTACCTAAACAGTTATCAAATAACCAATTATGGTGGAGCGGTCCTAATTTTTTACTAGACACTAATTACTCGCCTATTATATTTTATCCCGATGAGATATCAATGGAAGCAAGGGTTTTAGTCGCATGCAAAAATATAAACTTTCGGCAGTTCTCAGATTTCATTTTTAATAAATTTTCTACGTTCGAAACCCTTATAAGAGTAGCCGCATTCTGCAAACGTTTTATAAACAATTGCAGAGATAAATCTAAAAAAGCGGTAGGTAAATTATTACTATTGGAAATTAATGAAGCAGAAGCGACGCTTGTGAAAATGGTACAAGAAGAATCCTTTGGGGATGAAATTAGGTTATTAAAATAATCCAAAAATTTGAACTCTAATTCGCCCATTCTATCGCTTAATCCGTTTTTGGATGGCGATATTTTGCGTGTAGGAGGAAGGTTACGTCATTCTGACTTAGCGTTCTAGAAAAAATTTCCAATATTATTGCCGAAATCGCACGCATTCACAAACCTAGTTATTCGAAATGAGCACATCAAAGCACTTCATGGTGGTGTGCAAACAACACTGTCGCAAATTAGACTACGGTATTACATGGCAGAAGCGTTACTCAAAAAATTCTTAGACAGTGCGTAGTATGCTTTACAAATAAACCAATTCCTTTAAATTACAAAATGGCAGATTTACCCAAAAGTAGATTGGCAATTGATCGTCCATTTGCTAAAGTGGGGGTGGATTATTTTGGGCCATTCCTTATAAAGGAGGGTGGTAGACGCTCAAAACGTACTCGTAAGGTGTACGGTTGTGTATTTGTTTGCATGCTAACAAAGGCAGTTCATTGTGAGGTAGTAGAGAGTTTAACTACCGAGGCATTTATTGCTTGTTTTAAAAGATTTATTTCGCGACGAGGATTATCAGCAGAAATATTTTGCGATAATGCGACCAATTTTGTTGGTACAAGCAATGAGCTTCGGGAATTGTATACATTTTTAGAGAACGTAGAAATAATTTCAGATGCAGTTTTGCAATATCGTGTTAAGTGGAATTTTAATCCACCAAAAGCGCCTCACTTTGGTGGTCTATGGGAGGCTGCGGTAAAATCTTTTAAAAATCACATTTACAAAATCGTGGCTCACGCAAATTTGGAATTTATAGAATTTTACACTTTACTTATCGAAATTGAAGGTGTTCTTAATTCTCGGCCGTTAATTCCTATGAGCTCAGATCCTAATGATCTCGACTTTCTCACCCCGGGTCATTTCTTAATTGGTGACCACATGCGTGCTTTACCAGAACTTGATTTAAGCGAAGAAAAGCCCAATCGTCTGTCTCGTTGGCAACGTATTCAGCAGTTGCGGCAGCAGTTTTGGAAGAAGTGGAGTCGAGATTATGTCCAAGAGCTCCAAAGGCGTCAAAAATGGAAAATTCCAGGAGATACGACTCTTACCGTTGGTCAACTTGTGCTTCTTCAAGAAGACAACGCTCCGTCACGTCATTGGAAATTGGGTCGTGTCACGAAAGTCCATCCTGGTCCAGATAACGTTGTGCGTGCGGCAACAATTAAGACGTCACATGGTGAAGTAAAACGACCATCAGTGCGATTGTGTGTGTTACCAACAAATTAACGAGCTGTCAAGTGTTAGTAGCTTGATGTTTTGGAATTTTTTTTTTTGTTGACTGTATGTACATTAATATTTTTTTGTGATGCCATTTGTAGCGGCAACTTAGTAATGAAAACAATTGTTTAAGTTTTGAATAATATTTAGTTGAAATACTTACCTATGTTAAATATTTCAAGGGGGCCGACTATGTACAAAACTTTAAATTTATTTGGTTTTCCCTTGCCTTGCGCAGTTCAATTTATTTTATTTTTGTGGAAAGAGAATGTGGAATGTATGATTTTGATTTGTAATCGTCTAACAATAAACACGAATTGGAACCAGCAAAACAACTGGACTGGCGTTGGCCTCCGTTGGCCTCCTAGATCTCCAGATACTTTTATGTGTGGGATCATAATAAAAAAAAGTATACTTCACACCAGTTACTCGTCGTGAGGAACTGGAGGTTAGGATGAGGCTGTTGATGAAATGGATGCAGTAGGAATTAGACCGGCGGCTACCAACGGGGTTCATCAGAGGATGCTTATGTATTGAAAAAATAAGTGGTCACGTAGAACACAACCTCAATTGATTTTGGTTTTTTATATTGCCTTTTGTTATTATGACCCGTTTCTGTTTATTGTGTCATCTTTATTGAACTTTGTATTCATTAAAGTAAATCGAAACATAGAAATTTAAAATGTTAAAGACGGAGAAATCCGAATATCCTTGAATCCTAAAGATTTTATGGTTTTAAGGAATCTGAAACTGAAAAACTGAAACCTGAAGAATTAAACAAATCGGAGAACAAACGGATTTAGAAGAGTTAAGAATCTGTACGGAAAATTAAAGGATGGAATTAATCTGAACTGATCTGAATTCTAAGATTGGAAAAAAACCCCGACAATGAAATATTTTAAAGAACCCTATGAAGCGATAGCGTAAAGAAATGAAAGATCCATAGACGAGGAAGAACCCCAAAGATCGCAAAATTTTAATAACGTGATGAATTTTGTACGAAGAGATCCAAAAATTTTGAAAAGTTTGACGAATTGGGAACTTTCGAAAAAACGGTAAGATTTGAAAAAATTGCACAATCTGGATAAATTTGAAAATTGCACAGATGAACACTCGAACAAATCGGTGAGAGAATCAGAAATTTGAACCAAAAGAAGACCTCCAAAAATACAAACATTGCAGAATCTGTAATTTGATGAAGCTAGTTCTTAGGGCGTTCTTTTATTTAGCTGTTATTTGTATACGTAAGTTGTAATAGTTACATGATATTGTCAACTTGCCTATCCCTCCATTTAAAGTGATTGTGCTTTCTAAAAACGTATGTAAATCTCTTCTAGCCTGGTGGAAAAAGGAACGGCGCAAATTATTGTTTTGGAGGATGTAGTTTCCAAACGATGCGACGCGTGATTTAGAATAATAATTTAAACGAATTTACTTCCCTTTACCATCCAATTTTTTAGGTACTAATTAGCCACGTGATTTCATTGTAACACGCCAGATTTTATGCTAGAAGTTTGTCGTTTGCTGAGCTGCTATGGTGCAATATACAAGCCTTCTCCTTGGATTCTGCGATGCGTGCTTAGGATATTTCAAATCGATCAGATTCTTCCGATTCTTTATTTTGTTCGGATTAGTTGGAACCCTTGAAGTCATCAGATTCTTCAAACCCTGAAATCCTTTCAGATAATCGATTCGAACTAATTTTTTAACATATTTGATTTTTTGTGGATCTTTAGTACCGCTGAAGTTATTGCGATATTGGATTCGGGTTCAGATTCGAGACTCTCCGCAACCTTCAAAGATTTTATTTCCTTTGATTCGAACGAATTTCTTTATACTGGTGGGATACTTTAAATTAAAAATTGTATATAAAAATCATACTGAAATTGGTAATAGTTCCCATTGTCAATTGAATCACCAGATGGTGCCAGCAAAGGATTCCAGATAAAAGACTTATAAGTTGGTATGAAAAAGGTATAAACTGTGATAACCTCTTATTTATGGATATTTCATAAGAAGAGGAAGGTTAGCCATAGAGAGAATAGGGTCGAAAGTGATTGTCCAGAAAAAGAAAACCGATAGTTCTCTACGACACGTGGTCTTATGCTCTAAATAAAAATTGATTTTTTTTTATGTTTGTTACAAGTAAAACTTGTACCCTTGTTTTAATACAGTCTATCAGAGTGGTTTATATTATGAAAGGTATTGATTTCAAGCGCAACGTCTAGAAAACCATGGATGCGGAAAAGGATGACGTTGATTTGCAATTGACGCTATGGAGGGTAAATAAAACCAACCCTTGTACTAAGTCTTTAGATGATAAAGTAGAGAGAAATCGAAGTAAACGTAAATGGCAAACGTCGAAATTGATGGCGCGGTATTGAATGTGTTCCCTTTGCCGGTTGTTAGTTTGTGACTTTCAAGCACAATGCGAAGACGTTAATATGGTATCTGCAAAGCGCTATTGCTGTTTGAACGGTTTAGTGTGTACCGTTATTGTCGTCATGGCAACAGTTAGAGAGCGTAAATTTTTACTGCTGATTGAGATGATGTAGCTATTAAATGGGAATTCTTCGATTAGATCTTGACTAAATTTTGATAGGGAGTTCATTCTGTCAAAGCGTAGGTTTTTCAAATTCCACCATTTGAATGAGGGAGTGGGGGCGCAAGAAAATCTATTCAATAGCTATGTAAATTTTCAGCAGTTAATGCTTTTAAATTACACTGCTTTGAATTCAATCGTTTCTTATGTTCACGTTTATCGCTGATAGTATATCTAAATCTTTCAAGGGCCGCCGCTACAGAAAAGTGTTTAATCTCGCAAACTCTTAAGATGCAAATCGATTGTCGCTCTTTTTGTGGGAGATTTTGTTACAAACTGCTTTAACATCAAAAGCTATTGTATTAAGCTCCTTTGTTCCATGTTTACACGTTGCTAACGTTGACACCCAATACCTTTATCGAACTATTACTTTTCAAACATATTTTCGGAAAATGTATTTCTTCGTAGGCTTTTAAGGAAAAGTTTCAAGTTACTTCAAGTACCTTCGGCTTTTCCTTTGTACGGTACGCGATACCTTTTCATGTTTAAAAATGGCTGTCATTTTCACTAATGAATGTTTTAATGTACGCCAGATGAAAATCCAGTAATATGCGCATTTTGTAAATATGTAATGAACGGCTATTTAAACGAGATGGTACGCTTGGGAATGCAACGTTTGAATAGTTAAACTCTGATATATGCATAGAGCAGACATTTTGGTGTATACATTTCCACTATAAAGCCAGAGTTTCATCTAATTAACTACAGTTAATTTCTAAATTTACTTTTATTCAGTTTGCCCGACGTTTTAAATTGCTCATCCGCCCTAAAACTGGAACTCAACTGGTTTGTTATTATATGTTACAAATTTAATCTTCACTGTCCCAATTTCATAATTAACAATATACTCCTAAACTTTTTCGCTCATATTTTCGGGGATTTCGTGTGGACCCACGCAAACAAATTATTTAATTTGATAACTGTCGCGTCCGTAAAGGTGATATTTCATCGTGCGCCGAAAGGACAACCTGGAAAGCCATAATGGAACAGGGAATTAAAAATTACCGTTTTCAATACTACGATATGAACGGTTTAAAAAACGAACAAAAGGACCTTTTATTGTAACGCCAACGTATCAAAACTCAACCTACATTATTTTGTAATTTCCAACAATAAGCTATTGAATAAAATTGTGACTAATGAGGTTTTGATGAAGTTGAATTTCCCAAAAGTGCCTCTCCGCAATAAAATTCTCTGTTACACAGCCATTTCATAACAAAGCTTACTTTTTACTCATGCAAATGCGCCATTATATAAATGTTTCCTGACGAATTTCCCGTTTTAGTTGGAATAGAGCTGCAATATGTGATTAGTAATTCTACTAAGCTTTTCAAAGTTTGACATTGAACACGTAATTTTATCAGTTGGAATCGCACACAAGTCAGAACCGTTAGCAGCCTTTCGAGAAAGGGACTAACTTTATCAACACAAAGGACTGATGTTTCCGATACTTGCCTCTTGGAAAAGTTACTTTAAAGAGAAAATCCGCCCGTATACATTAGTAAATTGTATGAATATTGAGACATTCAAAGTTTTTTTCTAAAACGACAATTTGCCGAAGGAAAACTAATTTATGGAAAATGCTGCATATAGAACAATCCAATTTAAATGAAATTCTACATCAAAGATTGTTTACAGATGAAAGATGATATAAAAATGTTTTAAAGGAGAATTCCTGTGGGGAAACTATTTCCAGTACTTGTCATCTTGTAACTTTGAAATTAATTTTCTGTGCTATCTAAGGGTATCCTTGTTTTTACTTGTTTACCACAGCCTGGAGGCCCAAAGGACTGCGGAGCCATAGAGAATATTGCAGTATAAGGAATGTTTAATGAGTTGTAGGTACTTATTTTTCCAATTATGAAGGTGCTGTATTTACAATGTTAGAAAAAGCGGATTATCTCCAATGAGGAGTACGTTTGATGGTAAGATTTTTAGGACAAATTGAAAAGAATTTATCGAGAACTAAATGAGAGGGTCTTGGCGGAAAATACGAGAATCATGAATTTTAAGGACCTTGAAAGTGATGGAGGAAACTGAAGAGATCATGACAGAAGCCGAACGACAACAGGATAGTGCTTTATAAGAACATTTATAGGATACTTAACGAAAGTTGAAGGAAATGAAGGGCGAAACTTAAACATAAACAAACATTTTATAAAAACAGTTGCAGATGCAAACTTAAAGGGCACTATAGAAAACCTGACGTCAAGTGATAACGAACACTGACAGGAGTTTGTGAAGGGATAAGTCAAAAACGACTTTTCAGGAGACAGATGAGTATGTTTAATTCATATTACTATGCTAGATTTATTGTACTTACCCTTTTTCTGATAGGATGTGCATTAAAAAATCCCATTAAAAAATATTGCTGTGTGCTATGATCCGCAGGCCAGAAAGACCGTAC